ATGTGAAGGTCTATGGCTAAAGAAACTGTTGAATGAGCTACAGATTCCAACAAAATTTCCAATTAAACTCTATTGTGACAATAAAGCGGCTATCAGCATCTCACTCAACCCAGTTCAACATGATAGAACCAAACATGTAGAGGTGGACAGACATTTCATCAAAGAAAAAATTGAAGGTAGAACTATCTGTATGATCTACGTTCCTACTAGAAAGCAGACTGCAGATGTATTCACAAAAGGACTACAGAGATAAACATTCGATGAATGCATCTACAAGTTGGATATGATCAATATCTATGATCCAACTTGAGAGGGAGTGTAGGAAATCCCGTTTATATCTTCATTAATATGGGAAGATTGTAATTAGCATATAATTAGGAAGTATTTTTACTTACTTTAGATAGTAGATTATTTTCCTTATTCCCATCTATTGTACAGTATATAATATGGATGTATTGTAACTCGTTAATATTCATTGATTAAGAAATAAAGGATTCTCTCATTACTTTCTATAAGCCATAAATCGACGCCGCGCGAATTAGGGCAGCAGCATCAAAAAATCGCCAGCAGCAAAAGGAGAGGGAGGGGGAGGAGAAGGTAGAAGTCATCGACAGCAGCAGTAGGGTGGAGAGAAGTCGCAGGCGGCGCAGCAGATAGAGAGAGATACATGATGAGGGGGGTGAGGGATTTACTAACAAATTATGGATTTTATGGTGGGGTGGGGTGATATAAATTAATTTTTATAATAATATTATTAATATTTAATTAAATTTAAAAAATCTGTATGTATATATAAAATATTTGATTTTTGAACATTAAAATTTAAAATCTGAATTTTGAATTTGGATCTTAAAAAGTAGGGTTAACTGTAATTACCACTTAAAGTAGCCCATTACTGGCACATAACCCCAACTAGGGGTGGGCATGGGTTGGGTTGGATCGATTTTTTTCCCAACCCATACCCAACCCAATATGATCGGTTTGGCATAAATTCAACCCAACCCATGTAAAGATTGAAACCCAACCCAACCCAACCAAATGTCGGTCGGGTTGGGTTGGGTTGGTCGGTTTGGGATGACCTACCAACAAATATTAAAGTCACCAAAGTACTAAATTTAAAGTAACATTAATATATTGCGTTAAAGACAATGCCACACAGTTCACTGGAATGATCAAACTGGCCATAATATTGCTAGATCACAAGACTGCTAAGGGAGATTCTGTTTATGCATACCTTCAATAGAGGAAGTTCTAAGAACCAGTGCAATGCCACCTCATTCTTCTGTTGCTCCCTCCTCTCCCCAGGAGTCATTTGAGTTTGGAACATATTGAACAAACTGATAATATCAGACACAAACACACATCAAAGGCTTATCTTTTTGTGAAACAAGAATGAACAAATTGCACATAGCAATGATTTATTTCCCTTATTCATCATTTTCATATAAACCAAAATTAAGATTATCATACATCAGAATAAAAAATCCTACATGATCGAAACCTGCTACACAAACTGACAATGCCATAGCAACACATACATTGTCCACATAGTAATATTATGGGTTCATGGTTCTGCAGGAAACTGAAAAGCATAGGCAATCGCTTAAATAGGCAAACCCTTACATGGAAGCATAGATTTGAAGATCTAAAGACAAAATGCACAATCTTAAATGGAGAAATGTATGAAACATATTCAAGAAATTACCCATCTTTCAGAAACCCACTGAAGAAATTCAGCTCAATTGTCAGAGCACCACCACACAGGCATTTCTGTTGTGATAAAGAAGACTCTCCAATCCTCTCTGCTGCCGAACACCAAACATCCAAGCCGGCGAATTCCATACCACAAAAATCTTCATCGTACACCTCCATCTCCTGAAAAATTCCTCCATAAGAACCCATTGCTAAAACCCTAACAATCACTCCTGAAATTAACTGCACGATTTGAATTTGTAAACAGTAAAAAGTAAGGAAAAAATACCTCTCGGCTCGCATCATCTTCTTCTGAATATCAGTTACAGCTCCTTCAGTGCTGCAATCTGTATTATTCGTCGATTTTATCCTCGGTTTATCGACTCTACCGCCACCATGAGTTGAGAGAAAATGAGGCTGGGAGTGGGGAAGAGTGAAGAATTTAGAGTGAAGAAAATGAGGCGGGAGTGGAGACTAGAGAGGCAAGGCGATTGAAAATTCTAGGGCTTCTTTCCATTTTATGTCGCTTTTTTCTTTTTTTTTTTTCCAATTTTTTATGTTCATCGGGTTGGGTCGGGTCGGGTCTGGTTCCACCGAGTTGCCTTGCCTAACCCACAACCCGACCCAACCCGACCCGATAGCATAAATTAATACCCGAAACCGGATTAAAAACACCAAAAAATCGACCCAACCCGATCGATTGGGTCGGATCGGTCGATTTTCGTGGGTTGGATTGGATTTTGCCCACCCCTAACTCCAACCCAAGAGACCAAGTCCATATCGGAAACGACATCAGCGAAGAAACTTCGCACCATCTTTTTTGTTAATTGTAATTTCCACATTATTATATTTGTGTCCATCCTCAGACAATTTCAAATTTAAACTGTCCTTCCTTTTCCCATCTGTCTCCGACTCTCCGCCAATTGGGTTCTTGATTTTTCCACCTCATCTCTTTCTCTTCTCCTTCCCCAGCCAATTGAATTTTTTTTTTAATTTTTTATCGTTTATTTTCAACCAGAGAAGGAAAAAGAGAGAGAGAAAGAAAAAGGCATGAATCCGAACTGGGAGTTGACGAATTGTTGCCAGCATGATCAAAGAGTTTTTCTTGCAACAATTGGTGTCTTCACTGTCGTCATTCTCGCTGTAAGTTGTTTTTTTTTTTTTTAATGTTGTCCTTTCTAGTAACTTTTATTTTTATCGTGTTACTTTTGGGTAGATTCAAAGTACATTGCTTTTTGAATGTATAATCCTCTTTTGAGGATTTGTTGTTTTTATTTCTGTCAAGCATAAATTTCAAAAATTATGAACTCATGATGTTGCTCCCTTTTCAATTTGTTTAATTTTTCTTTCCCTTTTCGTTTTATGGGATTTCCTAATCACTTGTTACATGATCTGAAGAACCAAGGGATAATAAATTGATACAATCTCTGTAAATGCATCCCATTGTCGTGTTTCTTGATCCGGAGTCAATTGGAATGTAATTTATAATTTACGAGTCAAGGTTGCTGATGAATTTAGTTGTTAGTTTTCGGAAAGAACTGTATTGTCAATAATCTCAGCAATCCTACATGCCCAATTGAATATCATTTAAGAATTAGTTTCTATAGTTAGACTTTGTCGACTTCTCAAGCTAGATCAAGATATGGACAAGAAAATATTGGCAAGTTACTAAAGCTATTCAAGCTCAACTCTCCTAGTTTGTTGAGAAATCGAGCCACGGTTGGACTAGATTTTAGAGGTCGTAATATAATCCAGGCAGGCTTGAAAACCTATTTTGACTTAGCACGGCTCAATTGCAATCCATGATGAAGGGAGGCTCAAAATGTGCTACGTGAAGGGCTGTTAATTTTTTCACAATTACCGCCATTTAGCAATCAATTTTCCATGTTATTGTTGATTAGATGTTTCCGTTCAATTTCAAGCATGTCGTAGGATGTTTTGTGCGAACAAAAGAGCTCTCCATAGAAATTTTATTTTGGTCTTCTTTATTGGGTATATTTGTGTAAGCCATTTTTTACTTCAGTTCTTTGATGAGATTCCTGATACTAACATTTATTTCTACTATGGTCATAACAGTTATGGAGGACATTTTTACTGACACCTTTTAAGCTCATCACCGTATTTCTTCATGAAGCAAGTCATGCAATTGCTTGTAAGCTCACTTGTGGTGAGGTAAAATCTCTCTCTCCATAACGTTTCTATGCATAGAGGTAGAACCTCAATTCAGCACATTGAAGTCGAAAGAGAATTGTAGGAGAAAGGTAGCTAGCATGCTTGTAGTTACTGCAGAGACTCAATGGATAAACTGTAATGTATGATTCTATTGAGGGAAAAGCATATCTATATTTCCAGAATTGTTGCTACATTAACAAGGGGACGTCCTTTCAAGTAATATATAATCTATGGTCATAAATTTATAACTTCTAAAAGACGAATCTGTATCATATGATACAGAATATACTATTGGCATTATCCATTCTACACCTTTCTGTAATCTATGTTCAACATGCTAATTGCAAACTTTTATATCCGAGAATTTGGCTTGTTCTCTGTTGTTGATTCGATCTCTTCTATCCCGTTACTAAGCAGTTATGATTGAAGATACTCGTTGCTTTCCATTACACACAGAAAAGACTTCTATTAGATATGTAAATACAAGTTTTTTGTATATCTTTATGTTATATTCACAATAATACTTAAAAGTTTAGTTTTTTTTTTATCAATACTCAAATCTGTCAACTATTTGTTTTTCTATTTGACAGCAATTCTTGTTTAGGCTAAAGCAAAAGTTATTAGTATCATCTCAAACGTGCAGGTGGAGGGTATCCAAGTCCATGCAAATGAAGGTGGGGTGACGCAAACACGCGGTGGTGTGTATTGGCTAATTTTGCCGGCTGGATGTAATACTCTTTTCTACTTAATTTTCACCCTTCTGTAATCTGAATGATTTATATATACATATAGGCTAGTTTTATCATAGATCTATTAGTTAAATTTCGTTAGCTTCTTCATTCACCCATCTTCTTTCGCTCTATCATCTGGTTGTGTTAATTAGTCGTTTTCCTTTCTCCGTTTTCTTAGATCTTGGTTCATCATTTTGGGGTATGGTTCTCATCCTTGCATCAACAAATCTTCTCACTGCAAGGATTGCTGCTGGATGTCTTATTCTCTCTCTTCTTATTGTGCTATGCATTGCTAAAAATGTAAGCTCAGTAAATAATTCCTGCTAAATAGTCAACTAGCCAATTTCACATAATGCATAGTTATTTCAAATTTGTAATGGACTGGATCTTACTGATTTCTCGAATGTTGAGCAGTGGACGCTACGGGGGCTTTGCATTGGTGAGTTAAGTCAATCATAAGCATCGTAACTCCATTTTACCCAAGATATTGATATTTATTTTCCGTCTTGCTAGGATTTATTATTTTTATTGGCATTATATGGGTTCTACAAGAGATGACTAAAGTTCGCATTCTCCGCTATATTATTCTCTTCATTGGTATGGGCATTATCCTTATATTTTGTTATTTCCAGAACTTCTCATTGCTTATGCGTGTTCCTCTGATCTTCAGGAGTTATGAATAGTTTGTTCTCAGTCTACGGTAAGAACTATACTTCAATTATAACAGAATAAAGCCACTGTCATGGTAGAATGCAGTATGCTAATTTTCTATGATGCAGATATATATGATGATTTGATATCTCGGAGGGTTCACTCTAGTGATGCCGAGAAGTTTGCAGAACTTTGCCCCTGCCCTTGTAATGGTGCTGCATGGGGAGTAATTTGGCAAGTTTAATGCTAAGTGATTTCAATTTTCACGGTTAAAGATGTGAATATTCAGGATTTCTTCTTATCGACGAGCCTGTCTTGCAGGGGAATGATATCTTTCATATTTCTTTGTGGAGCTATTTATCTGGGACTCGTTATATTGTCTTGAGGTACTTCACCACACAACTTCCTTACATGGATATATTTTCTTAATTTTTTTTCCCTGTTTCTTATGCAATTCAAATTTCTTTCATTTGCCAAATTTATTCTGGAATGTGGAAAGTTGATGAAATCAGTGTATATGATTTGATCTTATTTTTTCAGGATTAACGGATTTGTGTTTCAACTCTGGGAGACAGCAGGATCTTCACAATTCTTCAATTAATTTATATGATTCGATGTTCTCATTCTTTTAACCCTTCTTAAATGTGATTCACATCTACTGTATTAATACATTTTAGCTTTGTTCTGGTAAATGATGAGACTGTACAGCAGGAAATAGAATTTTATTTATTAGTTGTTTTGATATTCTAGTTCAGGGCTGTAAAATTTTCATACCACATCAACCCCATAGCACATAATCACAAGCCAAATGAACAGCCTCATGGCAACAATATCGAAACACTTTACAGGGAAATGAAAAGAGCTTGCATTGATCCAAAGAGGTGACCGGTGTGGTTACTTTGCATTCTAACAATGTTAATAACACAGAGATAATAGAAATCTATTGGTAATTGGACTGACTTCATCTGAAGAACATGAATGTTTTTGCCATTTATGAAATTATAATGCTATTTACCAAGAAGCAACTAGGGGTGTCCAAAAGTCCCGACCCGAACCGGATTGAATCGAGCGGTTCTTCATAAATTAAATACCCGAACAGGTACTAGAATCGAGAACCGATGGGTTTGGGTCGGGTCTCGAGTCTAGACCAAGAACCGAAGAACCGAATAAGAATCGAAACTAAATAATTTTTTTATTTTTTATATTAAATTAATTAAATTATTTTATATATTTTTAAACAAATTAACAAATTAATTAAATAAATCAGATTATTTCATAATTTTAATTTTAAAACCCAAATTATTTTTAAAACTCATTAGTCCATTTTAATTTGAAGCAAATGAATATACTTTATGTAGTGTTGCTGTAATATTAATATCTACTTTTTGGTATTTGTATGCATTGAATTAATCATATTGGACGGCTAGTTATTTATATGTTTTTGAATTGGGTTACGTTAATTTGTAAAAGTTACGAATGAAATGTCATTAGTTGTATTTATGTAGTGTTGCTGTAAATATTAAAAAATTTAATTATGGTACGGAACCGAACGGAACCGAACCGACCCGAATGGAACCGAATCCGAACGGTTCCATAATTATATTTTGACCCGAAGGATCCATTTATTAAATACCCGAAAGTTTTGGGTCGGTTCGGATCTCTTCAGAACCGAACCGAATCGACCCACGGACAGCCCTAGAAGCAACGGAACATAAATCAAAATTCTGTAAAATTTCCATAGTAGAAACCAAAAAGAACATCGGGCGTTCTTGTCAAATTTTAGATGAAATAGATCTCGAAATTCTGCATATGGACTATTCCCTTCGTCTACAAAGAAATTCTTTCATTTGAGCATATATTTCCGCTTTCACCACAATACGCATCTTCTTAGAATTTTCCCACAGCAAACCACCATATTGTCGTGCAAAATCACAAGCAGACTAAAAAACATCCTACGAGACAATGAACAGAACATTATAAGACCAAAGCCCATGCATTAGTAATTTAGTATCGAGGCAGTTCTTACTCTGGATGGAAATTCTTCGTAAAGATGAGCCGGATCCATCTCCACCCTGTTCAAATCCGATTCCCACAACCTAATCTGGTTTTACATAATTACATCAAAAGAGAAAAATAGTAGCAGTTTCCCAATCACTAGCCAGAAAATTATCGAGTAAAGTACCCCTCAAAAGTTAGAATCGTTTACACTAACTTGCTAGTTGGAAAACGTGAATCGAAATTTAATTTTCACAATGGAGCTGGAAAGTATTTCGGAAAGAACAAGAAAAATAAGTCAACTTAGATATGTGATAAAAAGTAGGCGCGCGAAACTAGCGTAATGCTATTCATAGTGAAGACTACCGATAGTCGTCTTACGTAGCATATACATGACAGTTTGTTATTTGATGTATTAATGTGATATTTTTATTGTCTTATGCATTAAATAACAAATTGTCGTGTGTATGCATTAATATATGGTTAAAATTAATTATTGACTTTAACTTCAACTTTTTAAGTTATCCCAAACTAGCACTTAGATGTATTATCTTATTTGGCACCATAAGTTGTGTCTATGAGTGAGGCCACTTGCCGTGTGAAGGAACACTTGAAGAAACCACTCAAAACATCATGTAACATCTTCCCTTTCAATGTCTATATCTCATGGCCCTTCGATGTCTCTTAACTCTAAAAAAATTGCACCCTAAAAATATAGGATCCTCGAGTTCATTACAATATGGTTGTTCGAGTTGCCTTGTCTAATATGTATAAATAAAAATTGATACAAATGGTCCGACATTTTCCAATGATATTTCAAACATCTTTGTCTAATTCCGTCTTACCAAAAAAGACTTCTAACCAGCACATGAAGGTTTGTCATGATGAACCGGGTATGAAGAATGAATCCATATCTTTGTACTGAAGTTATTGATCAGCGACTAGACGAAAGAAAGCAAAAATATATATTAAAAAATAAGATAAATTATATTTTAATGGCCTTTAAAAGTTGATTGGTTGGAACAATGATTACAAATTATTATAGGGGAAAAAGAGAAAAGAGAAAAGTGGAAGATGCTTTAGCTTCTCAGAAGTTGAAAAAGGATCATCCGAAAGGTTTTCTGGTTAGAATTGGATATAGAGCAAATGAAAAGCAATATATTCCTAGACAAGATGGTAAAAATTTGGTTAGTCTTTTTCATAGACAAGATTTTAATTATAAAAGAAAAGGTTTATTTTTTTATACCAGTGTATTTTTTTTTCTTCCTTTTTCTTTCTCTATTTTCCTTAAATTTTTGAATCGACTTAGCTGGAGAAAAGATTTTGTTGTTCTTCCTAAGGAAATGAAAATAGAAAAATAGAAGTTATTAGATTTTTTTTAATAGTGTAGTTTCTACATTTAAAATTCTTGTTTGATCATTGTCTGTCCGAGTCAATGTTTCATTAAATAATAATATCCACGTGATCGCGTTTTAAAAAAAATGCAATGAAACTATTTCCTATAAATAATTTTGAAATAATTAGTGTATATACCTACTTTTAATTTTAAAAACTGAAAATATTTTATTTTTCCATTTTCTGATAATTACTTACACATAGCCCCCGTTCGGTATAAATTAAAAATTGATAACAATTTCAAATTAAAGCAAACAATTAATTTTCAACTACACATTCATCAATTTTTATCAAAATTTACTAAAAGCATAATAAACTTTTCAAAAATTACTTATTTTCCATCATACTAGTGGACGCACGTGCAATGTACATGTTTCAATTTAATTGGTTACTTAATGGCGTGAAATGATTTTTAATTATTTTTTATAATGTTCGTAATTTTAGGTATATCGAAAAATTGATTTTTTATTATACTGTATGTCATGGTATTACGAGGAGGATTTGAAATTCTTATGACATCCTAATACTTTCATCAGTCATATAGGCAAGAAACAAGTATTCAGATCGTACAAACCTAATCAGTTAAGATAATTTTTATATTTAAACTTAATCGACAATATATTTATTATTATCACATTTTAAGTTTTTTTTAAAAAAAATTAAATTGATCCAAATGGATATTCATATCGTGAAATATCGAATCAAATGAAAAATTGTAGAAAAATAAAGTTCTAAAAAAGAACATTGAAATGAGGTTGAGATTGAAAAGAAACATAAACAATCACGATTTTATGTTTCACAATTAATGTAAAATTATTTTTGATATTTAAAATTTATCGATCATATATTTATCATGATCGCACTTCAACATTTCCAACAAATTTTAAATCGCTTAAAACGAATATTTGTAAACGAACTCATTAGAAATGGACACATTTCCAATCATTTCAGAAGGACAAAAAGGAAAAACCCTAATCTAAAACAGAAGAAGGAAATCAACCACATCAAATATAATATGAAATGAAATCTCTCTGAGCCCAAAATATTGAAGGATAGCCAATCATACTCAATCTAAAAGTAAATCACCGTAAAGAATTCTTGCTATGATAGTTCGATTTCCCATTAATGAATTTATGGAGGTTTCACTATTTAGCATAAACATGGTGCAACTATCAGAATGTATCAAGCAAGCAACTTTTAGGAATATATGAAGATAACTTATTGATAACAAAGGAAAATAATAGAAAGTGGATTTTAGGATAGGCACATAACTTCCTTCATAGCAAACACGATGAAATGAAAACATCATCGTATGAGTATGTAACAAAATTCAAATGGAAATTATACAGTAAAAATTGAAACGGGTCATGAAATCTAATACGACAAGGAGCCTTTCATGTTCAAAACCTGTTTTATTGAATAGAAGAGAACAAAATGATATTGAAGAATGAAAGAAAAAAGCAAATACGAACCAGATTGTAAAATTTTAAGAGAGATACTTGTGACAAAACAAGTAGGATAAAGATAGTAAAATAATTAGAACATAAAGTTACAGTAAAAGAGATTAAATGACAAACTGTAAGTGGTCGTACCTGCTGGTAGTACAAATTGAAAACGAACACAGAAATATCCCAATAGATGGCTACGAGTCAAAACTTGCAAAACATCATTTAAGTGGTATGAATCCAAGAAGAAAAAAGAAAAAACACAATTCAAATTTTCAAGGTTTATCCATAAATCCTCTTTGATTAAAAAATTTAGATCCGAAGACAATATTTTTCTACAACAAGTGAAGGCATATTGACGAGAACAAGAAGAAGAAAATATTAAATTTAGTCTTTGGAAGCTAAAAAAATACAACTAAAGAAAAGAAGAAAATCAACGAAGAGTTGAGGGTTTCACTTTTCCTTTTCAAATTCAAGCACGTAATTTGCATCTTCCATTTTCAACAACTGATCAATACAGACTCCATTTCTTAACAACCATTACAAACTTCATCTCTCCTCAACGTACTTCGTTAGTTAAATTCTCAACCACCATTTGAGCCCCTTCATCTTCCTCCACATTCATCCCACATCTGCCATATTCTAAACTACTCAAAAAACTAAACCCTTATAGCATTGCGATTTGCGTGAAACTTAAAAGAAGGAAAAAGAAAAGAGAATCCAGATGCAAGTGATCCGAATTTCGATATACAAAGAATTATCAGAA